GAGGGGCAAACTCCTGGCCATGCACGGGTTTTGGAACCTTCCACAGCCTGGGCTCCCTTGCCCTTCCCTGTCTGTTCCTCTTGCACAACCACATTGGGAGGGTTCTGCAAGCTCAGATGCACTGCAGCCCAGCTGGCCCTTGGTCACATCCTGCCTCCGTTGGCTGAGCCAGCCCTGCATGGGGCCTGGGGGCACTCCCGGCCACGGCTCTGGGCTCACGCCCTGGCCCCGCCTCACCTGCAGGGGATGGAGCCCCCAGCTTTGCCCAGTGGGAGCTGCCCACCCTGCTGTGTCTACTGCCTCTCAGCCTCAGGACTGCTGCTGGGGTCCTGGCCCTCCTTCCTCAGGAGGGAGCAGGACCTGGCTGGGGTCAGGCATGGGCTCCTTGAGGGGCCTGTGCCCTGTGTCCCCTGCCCCAGCAGATGACCCTCCAGACAGGCCCTTGGGTGGGTCCTGGGAGTAACTGGACCTGATCGGGTGGCTGTAGGTGCAGGGGCCTGGGAGCCCTCAGAATTGTTGGGGATGGCCGCAGGACCTGGGGTCCCAGGCCCAGAGAATACTCTGCCAGCCCCACCGGGCACTGTACCTGAGGTTAGGACCAGGGTGACTCTAACCAGGACACTGCAGGGCAGCCTCCCAAGCTGCAGGCCTCTCAGGGTGCACCCCATTCATCCCCCTGGGACAGGACACCACTCCAGCACCTTCTCTCTGCTGTTGTTTCCTTCCCTCCTCGGTGATCAGTGCTTCAGTGCTGCCCAGCGGGCATCCAGATGGGCACAGGGACCCCGCGGGGCTGCCTAAGGGGAATGACCTGGAGGGCATCCAGATGTGCGCAGGGACCCCGCAGGGCTGCCTAAGGGGCATCCAGATGGGCACAGGGACCCCGCGGGGCTGCCTAAGGGGCATCCAGATGGACATGGGGACCCCACAGGGTTGCCCGGGGGATGACCTGCGCGGTCACCTAACAGTGCTTCTGGTTTCTGTTCAGGGGGAGCCTGGCTTCCGAGGACCTCCGGTGAGTAGGCCCTACTTCCCCAACATGCACATGCGTGTGCTGTGCTCTGAAAAGCACTGTCCCCGCCTGGCTACTGGAAAGCACGAGTGACCAGAGCTGACATCCCAGCTTCACGTTCAAAGCTCAGGACAGGGGTTGGTGGGAGACCACAGCAGGGTCTACCTCTGCTCACCTGAAAGTGGCTCCTCCTCTCTGCAGGGTCCATATGGACGGCCTGGGCACAAAGGAGAGATTGGCTTCCCCGGGCGACCGGTAAGGATCGAGGATCTTACTGTGTAGGTGGTGGGGGGAACAGGTAGAGTGTGGCCCAGCCCCGGGCGGCAGTGGGCTCTGAGGGGAGTGGGTTGCCATCCTTCCCACTGCCTTCCACCTAAGGTGGCCCCTGCCTGAACATGGCTCTCTTTGGGACATGGATGAGGAGGCCCTGCTCATGGACAGCTCAGACCCGGGAGGCGGGGTTGGGGACAGGAGTGTCTGGGGCCTGAGGGCTGGGGTGGTGTGAGGCTGGAGTGGGCTGGGTCTGTCCTGGTGGGGACTGAGATGGTAGCTGAGGCTGAGGTCTTGGCCAGCACCCAGCAGTTCCCCCCTACACTCTCCCCAGGGCCGTCCTGGGATGAATGGATTCAAAGGAGAGAAAGGGGAGCCAGGAGACGCCAGCGTCGGATTTGGTGCACGGGTGAGTGTCCTGCAAGGGCAGACAGGGCACGACCGGGGCCCCCAGCACCCAGAATGGCCTGAGGGGAGCAGCCTCGGGTCCCAGGCTCGTCTTCAGGAGGCTGCTTCTGAGGGGCCCTTGGTGTGACCACGCTGTGCTTGTCCTCTGCCTCACATGCGCATACGTGCACGCACACACACGGCTCTAGCTACTTCTCGGAAGGTCTTCCAGGTCAGCGTGGGGTCTGAGCTCCAGGGTTGTCTTCACGCAACACCACGTTGTTACTTGCAGTAACTCTGCCATCTTTTGAGCCAAGGGTTTTATTTTAGCAATGTTAGCAGGGTAGGGCATGTAGCCATTTCGTCCTGAGAGTTGGGGCTTGCTTCTGACACACTGGGCACCCAGCGCCCCTCCTGCCACACTCGTGCATTCTCTCCGGGAAGCCCAGCCCCACCCCAAATCTCAGCCTGGGGCCCCTCCGCCCCTCCCTGGTCCCTGTCCGGAGCTCCCACAGCTCAGCCGGATGGGACGGTGGTCCTGAGCCGTGTTCCAGGCAGTTGCTCTTCCAGTTTTGTATTTGTTGCTGGTTTTTCCTGGGAGCTTCCTTCCCTCTTGTTGACTGAGACTGGGCCGTTGTGATAAATTAAGACTAGAAGTCAGCACTTTTCAGGGTTCTGACGCAGTGATGGAACAAGAGGTCACATTTGTGAATAAGGAAGAGAGGCTCTTGAATTCTTTTTACGCTGTTGAGTTTTATTTTATTTTTTATATACCTGCACATCCCACACTGGGGATCGAGCCCGCAACTCGGACATGTGCCCTGACCTGGAATCGAACCATGACCTCCTGGTTCATAGGTTGATGCTCAGCCACTGAGCCACGCTGGCCAGGCAGTTGTTGAGTTTTAAAGGCGGCTGTGAAATGGCTGCGCATGTGCCCCTGGTCAGGTGCGTCCCACCTCTGGTTCTGCTTCTGTCTCTCCCTCCTCGGCCACACTTGGACAGTGGCTAAGGGAGGACCACTGTGACTGTAAGAAATGCTGCTGCCCACATCTCCCGCCCCGGCCAGTGTCGATGGCCTGGCTGTGGACGTGACTGACCAGAGCTTTCTGTTCCCTCACAGGGTCCACCTGGCCTCCCAGGGCCTCCAGGGCCACCAGGGCCGCCAGGCCTTCCCGGGAACCCTGTCTACGACAGCAACGTAAGTCGCCTGGCACCGCTCGCTCACCCCTCCCCAGTCCTTAGACAGAGTCCTCGGTTGCTGCCACCTTCCCACCACCAACCCCCATGGACCCCAGGGAGGGGTGGCCCAAGCCCCTGAAGGCTTCCTTCCTCTGAGTAGGGGAGATGGGTCCTTCTGGGAGGGTGGGCACCAGGCTGCCTGCCTTGGGGGCCACAGTCAATTAGAAGATTAGCCCCCAGGAAAGTACAGGCAGGGCAGGGGGCAAGGAGAGCTCTCTGGATCTGGGTACCTGAGCCCCAAGACCCATTGTCCCTGGGAGGGTGGACATGCCGTTTGACGAAGCTCAGAGACGTGAAGTGCACTCATGAGGGGCTTCTCCTGTCGTGACCAGGTCTCCTGATTCCAAACCCCGTGTCCTCTCCTCCCCCTCCCTGCCCCCCTGTCTCCGGGTGGGGGTGGAGGGTGCCTCTGCGCCCTCGAAGAGGGTGCTGGGGCTTCTGGGCTCAGAGACCCCTGGGTGGGTGATGACCTCAGTTCCCAGTGTCTCCCTCAACAGCTATCTTTGGCCCACTCTTTGCAGGCATTTGTGGAGTCTGGCCCCGTGGGACCTCCTGGTTTGCCAGGTGAGGGCTCCTGGCGGCCCTGGAAGAGCTGGGGGTGGGCGGCCCCTTCCTGGGGTGCTGGATGCTCCAGGACTTGGCACCCCCTGCTCACCCGGCTCTGAGGCCACATGAATTCCCTGGGGACCTAACCTTGGGTGGGAGTGGACACAGGGACCACCCACTTGCTGCCCACAGTTTAGATCGGGCTCCAGAGGACATGCTCCTCTCACACATTCAGTCATGGGCACTGGGGTCTCCATTTTTCCAGGGCACCAGGGGCCTTCTGGACCAAAGGGGGACAAAGGAGAAGTGGGCCCGCCCGGGCCACCAGGTGAGAGTGATGGGGGTTGCTTGCCCTGCTCTCCAGGAGGAAGGAAACCCCTTCTAGGCTCGGGGGGCCCTCATAGGACCTGTAGGGCATGGGCTGGACTCAAGGACACCTGGTTGGCCCCATCGCCACCACAGGGCCCAGGGCGCAGACAGTGGCCCGGCAGCATGTCCTGTCACCCCACCTGCTGAGAAGCAGGGCTGGGCCCCAGTATGTGTCTCCCAGAGACCTAGCCCTCCAGTGGGGATGCTGAGGGGCCTTGTGGGAGGAGGAGAGAGGTGCAGCATCGTGCTGGGAAAGGGGCTCCCCTGCAACTGGCGGAGTGTCCATGGGAACGAACCCCCCTTCCTCAGTGGGGTTGTGAGGCTCCGGAGTCGGGGCCCAGGTGGTCCTTGCTGCGGGTGCAGGGCCTGGCCAGGGGAGAGGCAGGGAGGGAATGCATGGTGTACATTTTTGGAAAGGAAGACATAAACCTGCCGTTTTCATAGACAACATGTTTTTGACCAACAACCCAAAAGGAATCGCAGATTCCTGTTAGAATTAATAACTAAGTTAATCAAGGTCACCAGGGCAATTTACAAAATCCATGACAGTCAGTCATAAACAACGTGGAAATTTTAAAAAGTTACCATTTAGAAAGATATCAGATTGGTCACTGTCAGGGGTGGGGGGTGGGGGGAGGGAGAATTGGACGAAGAGGGTCAAAAAGTACAAACTTCCCAACTTTTTCCTGTTTGTACCCATATGAGATGATGGCTGTTAAGTAAACGTACTGATCACTTCCCAGTATATGTAAGTCAAGTCATCCTGCTGTACGCCTTGCACTCCAACAGTGCTGTGTGTCAGTTATAGCAATAAAACTGAACGGGATAAAAAGGCACCATTAATAAACACATCCCCCCCTCAAAAAAAAAATAACTGGCAATAGGTGTAAGAAAATAGGCAAAGAATCTCTACAGAAATACAAAACATTTATAGAGAGAGATAAAAGAAGATGCAGATGGGTGCCTGTGTCTGGGCGGGGTTGCGGGCGGAGTATGAATGAAAGAGTCTGTACAGCGTCTCATTGAGGCCCCATCCGACACCTCCTGTAGGCCAGTTCCCGTTCGACTTCCTCCAGCTAGAAGCTGAACTGAAGGTGGGTGACCCCTGACCCCTGCGCTGAGCCCTCCTCACTCCACTGGCCCCCCCCAGGACTCCCGTCTGCCCACCCCACGTGGGGCACTGGCCATCCCTGGCGTGGTTTTGTGGGGACTCCCCGAGAAGCTGAACTGAAGGTGGGTGACCCCTGACCCCTGCACTGAGCCCTCCTCACTCCACTGACCCCCCCCCCCAGGACTCCCCTCTGCCCACCCCACGTGGGGCACTGGCCATCCCTGGCATGGTTTTGTGGGGACTCCCCAGGGTGCAACGAAAGGCCTGCCAGGCCTGGGCTCCCAGCTGTCTCACCCTTCCCACCTCCAGGCTGGCGGGGGTCAGCACCCACCCCTCCCCACACCAGCAACGAGAGCTGGCCTGTCTGAAACAAGCATTTCCGTCCACAGGGGGACAAGGGTGACCGAGGGGACACCGGGCAGAAAGGAGAAAGGGGTGAGCCCGGTGGCGGATTCTTCGGCTCTGGTGTGCCTGGACCCCCCGGCCCGCCAGGCTACCCCGGGATTCCGGTAAGTCTGGGCTTCAGGCCACCCTGTAGGTGCCCACACACAGACCCAGGCCTGTGCGTGTTCCCAGAGGCCCCTGGGGCCAGGAGCCGAGCACAGGGCCAGTCTGGCCATGAACACCCGATGAGGCTCACAGGCTGCGCCCTACAAACGGCCCTGAACACTTCCATCCTGGTTCTGCCCTAGGGGGGGCATTGGCAGGCCCGGTGGGTGCACAGTCACTGGCCCCCACCAGGGTGGGCACACCGACTGGGAGTGTCCAGCAGGGAGGTGGGGGACAGGGTGGAGCCCCCACCCAGCTCTCCTGCCTGATCTTCTGCTGGCACTGTTCCTCCTGATGGGGGCCCCACCAAGTCCCCTCAGGGAGATCCTCCCTAGGGGGGGCATTGGCAGGCCCGGTGGGTGCACAGTCACTGGCCCCCACCAGGGTGGGCACACCGACTGGGAGTGTCCAGCAGGGAGGTGGGGGACAGGGTGGAGCCCCCACCCAGCTCTCCTGCCTGATCTGCTGGTGCTGTTCCTCCTGATGAGAACCCTACCAAGTCCCCTCAGGGAGACCCGTGGCCCTGAAAGATTCCAGGGAACAGTGGGCCCAGCTTTTGCCTTGGGGGTGGAGGGAGATTAGGGGCCTTTGGGGGCCACACCTGTGTTCAGAGGCTGCTCTGGTGCACGTGCTGGGGTCAAACCCCAGCAACAGGGACGCAGGGAAGGGATTGGGTGTCCTCCCGGGCCTTGGGGCATGGGAGAGAAGTGACATGGCTCAGAGGCCGTGCTTCCTGCAGAGGTTCTTGGCAGATGCCTCCCGGCCCCTCAGACTTCAGTGCCCTTGGCCGAGGGCCCTAGCTGACATCAGCACTTGTCTTGTCCGTCCTAGGGTCCTAAAGGAGAGAGCATCAGGGGCCAGCCTGGCCCACCTGGACCTCAGGGACCTCCTGGCATTGGCTATGAAGGGCGCCAGGGGCCTCCCGGACCACCTGGCCCTCCAGGGCCCCCAGGGCCCCCTTCCTTTCCTGGCCCCTACAGACAGAGTAAGTTGGGCGGGGAGTGGTCTGGGCTCCAGCCTCGTACCGCTGGGGCTGGTGCGTTCTCACTCTGGCTTCTCTCTTGTAGCTATCAGCGTTCCTGGCCCCCCAGGCCCACCTGGGCCCCCAGGACCCCCTGGAACCCTGGGCACCTCCTCAGGGGTAAGCATTCTTACCTGCCGCTGCTCACTGCCTGGTTGCCTGCCCAACCACCCTTCCCTTTGGAGGCCTGTGGTGGGGCTGCTTGATGAGTCCTGGGTAGACCCCACAGGGACCCTGCTTTTCTCTGGAACAGACACAGAACCCTGAAATGTGGTTTCTGAAGCAGAAGTGGGGTGCCTGGGGGCCATGACTGAGATGGGCAGGGGGAAGGGGACAGCCATGGTGGAGGTCCTAGTGGGCAGGACCACGCGCAGAGGCCTAGGGACTCATGGACTC